GTGTCCCTACAATGAACAAGGTCTTTGTTTCCTTTGGGTTTATACTGAGAACTGAGAAGTAAAGAGTGGTACAGTGGGTTATATGGTAGCTCTACTTTTAGTCTTTTGAGGAATTTGCATACTGATTTCCACAGCCTCTAAAAATAATTTATATTTCTACTAACAATGTAAAAAGTTTTTTTTTTTTTCCCCTTGAATTCTTGCCAGAATTTATTCTCGGTAGAATTCTTGATAGCTGCCTTTCTGTCTTGAGATCGACTCTCGATGCAGTTTGGTTTTATTTTTGGTGCTGGAGACTGACTAAACTCAGGGCCTTATGCACACTAAGCACACATTCTTCCATGGACTGTGTCTTCAGTGTTTCAGTACAGCTTTGAAATGCACTTCCCTAATGTTAAAGATGGTGAACAATTTTCATGTAGTCACTGACCCTTGATATTCTTCTGAGAAGTGTTTGTTCACTTGCCCATTTGATGATTTTTTTTTTTTTTTGGTGTTAAATATTTTGAGCTCTTTTTGAGCTCTTTATATATTTTGGCTATTAGTCCTTTGTCAGAAAAATAGCTGGGAAACATCTTCTCCCATTCTGTAAGCTGCCTGTTCATTCTGTTATTTCCTTTACCATACAGAAGTTCTTCCATTTTATGCAATCTCATTAATCAGTTCTCACTATTATCCCTTGAGCTGTTGAAGTTCTTTTCAGAAATCAGTTGCCATTAAAGTCTTTGATTCATTTAAATTTATTTTTATAAAAGTTAAGAGATGAGAATCTTATCAGACTTCTCTAGTTGGATATCCAGGGTTTTTTGTTGTTGCTGTTTTTTTTTTTTTTTTTTTTTTGTCTTTTTCGTTTTTATCGGTACCAGGAATCGAACTCACGACTGCCTGCTTGCAAGGCAGGCGCTTATGCTGCTGAGCTAAATCCCCAGCCCCTGGATATCCAGTTTTCTGAGCACCATTTGTTAAAGAAACTGTCTTCCCTTCAACATATGCCTTTGATATCTTTGTCTAGAATCATGGGTCCTCTATTCTGCACTACTGGTTTCCATGTCTATTTTTAGGTCAATATTGTAACGTTCTGTTACAATGACTCTACAGTATATTTTGAAATCAGGTATCATGAGGCCTCCAGCATTACTCTTTTTACTCAGGACTGCTTTGGTTATTCAGTGTCTTTTGTGCTTCCATATGAAATTCAGGTGTATTCTCCAGCTCTGTGAAGAAGATTGTTGGTATTTTGATGGGGATTGCACTGAATTTATACATTGTTTTCAGTAGTGTGGCCAGTTTAACAATACTGTATTAATTCTGCCAATCCATGAACATGGAAGGTTTTTCTATCTTCTAGTGTTTCCTTCAATATCTTCCCCTGATGCTGAGTTTTGCTTTTAATAACTACTGTATTGTACTGACATGACAGAAACTGCACTGTAGAATAAGGCCATGATTGCTCCTAGACTGTGCAGGACTCTAATTACTTGACCCTCCAACCACCCTCCTGCCACCTCTAGGCCCTTCACCACACTATGGTGACAGGGACCTTTTCAAATCCCACATCCGATTATCTTACAATATTTTAAATCATTTTGATGACTCTCAACCAGTTAAGCATATGTTTTGGAGTGCTACCAGTAAAGGTAATATATCAATATACTTTTTCCGGAAACATAAAATGTCATCTCTGTAAAAGTAACAGGCTATAAAGAAAAATGATGGATTTGCAGATAAGCCGTATCTTTAATAAGGAAAAAAGATTTATTTGATTATGGCAATGACCCTATCAATAGCTTCAGAAATACTTAGGTAGTAGCTGATCCCTGACGCAGTATGTATGTTAAACTGGATACACCTGTGCCTCATCAAACCCAATTATTTAGAATGCCTAAAAATGAGGTCACAGAATCTACATTTGTAACAAGAGTCCCATACAGCTTGGACAGTCACTGAAACACTTTAACATCCACAAGTACGTGTAAATTGGGCAATACTGCAAATACCATCAGTATCAGGACTAAGACTGAACTTTATCTATGTAACAACCAACAAGCCCTCCTTTGCCCAACAATAACATTTTAATTTAAACTTCCCTAACCTGTGACTGGGTCACAGGTTTAAAATTTTATTTTAAATATTATTTGAGCAAAGTCATGTCACATTACACAGAATTAAGAGTATGATATCACAAATATCATTTCTTCTTGTAATATTACAGACTGAACCCGCACTGAACTACATCTCCAAACATTTTAAAATTTTTATTTTGAGACAGAATCTCATGAAGTCACTCAAGTGGCCATACTAGACTCAAGCTTAGGAATTCTCTTATCTGAGATTCCTAGAATCCTGATGTTATGGGCAGGTATGCCTGGCTTAGGTCAATATTTTTACAATAAAATATGCTCATTTCAAAAATTATTCCATCTCTTTCCCTAAAAAATAAACCTCCTGTCACAGCTATGATATTGTGAGGCAAAATAAATACAACGTTCGGCAACAAATCATCCCTTTCTCTAGTATTCTAGTTGTAAGGGAAAGTAGTTCTGATTAGATCTTACATTCTAAAAGCTATCTTAAAAGGTTAATGAGTGTGCTTAATGAGTATCCAACTAGCATTAAAATCCCTGGCATTTCACTTAGCTTCCCTAAGTTTATCAGAGCCAGTCCCTAACCAAATTCATCTCTGAACCTGGGGGGTGCCATCTGACACATCAGCTCCTTGCTACAGCTACAAGAGGAGGAACATCTTCCCGTAGGATCTCCAGCCTCTTTGGCTGGGAGGGATCCTCTAGCAAAGAGTGGTAAATGTACAAGGCCAAATATTAAATCTTAGTGTGACTAAGATTACAGTTAAATTTTTCTTTTCTTTAACAGGTTTTCAAATTATTTAATCTGTAAATACATCTCAGAAAAATGTGTTCCTCCATAAAATGTAAAAACATTCATAACCTTGATAACATAGAGAGGTCACATAGGTCTAGAAACTAAAATATGACATTTAGTTGTAGTGCTGGAGCGAGTGTCTACTCTGAGCCATGTCATGTGGTTTAACATTTTCTTTTGAAATCTTAAAAATACATACATTTAAGTACTGACACTCAGCTCTGATTGTCTTCGATATAAAAGAAAGTGTTCCACCGTACAAAACACAGAAATTTAAGTGCTTCAGAGATTTTGATTGTGTAACAGTAACTCCAAAAGAGCCTACAAGCAAAAACAAAACACTTACAGAGGAAAATATCAAGAGATAAATTTTTCAAGGTATTTCATAGGTAAGAAAACAATTGCTCATTTTCCATACTGCATGCATGAGTCCATCATATAAATTACTCTCCAGAGTCTATGCAATGTAGGCAGCCACTAACTGGGTCAATCATCATACAAGAACAAAGCAATCATTGGTCAGATGTATTCTAGCAGATTAAGGGCAAAACCTGTGAGATCAATAAGGCCAATCTGATTAACAAGTACAAAGTGATACGGAGCAGAGTCCAAATGTTGAAGGTTTCTATCTTTTCAGATAGTCATTCTAGCCTTCTATTTACAAATTGTAGCTCTAAAGTGTACAATCATTGTTATTTATGTCCAAAAGAATTTTCTAATTTCCACACAAATTCTCACACTTCAACTCTAAACCATGCCAAAGCGCTCCATTTAGGCTCCCTGCTGGATTACAAAATGGCACCAGAGAGGCATCAGCCATCCAGTGCACCAGGACCCCCAGGAGCTCTTGAGCATGCTGACAGAATCTGCCAAAACACAGGGCCAGGACAGCAGGGTAAAGTGGGATTTTAAAAGTGCCTCCTTGGTCAACAAGAACAGCTAGAGATTTTGTAAGAAACCAAAACCAGAACGCTATTTATGCTCCAATATTTTAGGCAATTGTAAAAGGCAAAGAAAATGGGTATTAATACTGGCATAAAAATATTTTTGAAATTTAGTGTTTATTTGTCGCATACCAACTGCTTTTTCTTTCATTCCTTTCTGTTTCTGATCTCTGGAAAAACCACATCTGTATCAAATGTCACTTAGCTCTTATTCAAACAGAAGAAAGCAGACACAGCGGCTGCACTGTGACTTGGCTGACCTGGGCCCTCAGTAAAAACAAACCTCTATAAATCACCAGATGTAAGCAATTGGATACTGATCACTTTAATTAATTGAACAGTGTTCCTGAAATTTACTATATAATTCAACCCTCCCATCACCTTTACCAGAAGCAACTAACAATACCTGTTTTCTTCCTACATGGTTTAAAAGAGGGATGTTTTTAACTTCAGTACTTACACACTTTTTAAGATTAAGGCAATAAAATACTTAAGTTTAGAAATTTAACCAGGAATGTTCTAAATGCTACCTTTATATACTGTTAAATCAAAATTCTTCCAAAATCTGTCTCCAAACATGAATATACATGTGTTATCTGCTCTCCAAAATATAGAAATGTCATGTAATTTTAATTCTATTTGGCAATTCATATTTACAAAATAATGTGCAGTATTTCTGACTTCAATTACATACTTTATTTTAATTGCATAAGCTGATATATTAAGTAGTGATCTCAAAGCCCTAATTTTCCCTGTAGAAACCAAACTTATAAGGACACCTTAAGAGTATGTTATTGACTCATATTTATTCTCACACACACAAAAATTCTCATCATGGTTTCTAAAATCTATGTAACACATAATCCATAGATCCCAAGCCAACCACTGAGCAAAACCAAAATTAAAGTCTGAGTCAACAGCACATAAACAAATGTACATCACTATGGGGTGAAAGTTGCTTCTTTTAATCTTGGAGACCAGTTAAACAATGAGAACAAAGGGTAAAACGTGTTGGCATGTGTTGAGGGAGGGACAGTATAGACTAGAAAACAAGTTTGGCAATTTAAAGAACCCTCTTTGTTATTCCTAGAAGGAAATTTTGTTTGTACGCTCTTTATGCCAGTGCAATATGGTCCCTCCCAACACAGATATGAAAGTTTGCTAATATTCACTTACAAGGATAGAAGTGTAATATTCGCTGAGACTGGCCCAAGATTTGGAATGGTTTCCAGTTCATTGCTGTTCAGTTTTCTATAAAAGATAAGAACAGGAGGGGGGTTAATTAGGTGATTTATAATTCATAGAAGTGAAAGCTTTACAATAAAGATATCTCTCACATTACAAGTTTTACATAATTTATTATAATTCAAATATCCACATAGTGAAAGTGAAATTGAAAGAGTGGCAATAAATTTTTGCAAGTTTCAAGTAGAAAGTAACCAGGACTCACATTTCTCGAAGGCTTTGAAGTTGGCTCATGGAACTTGCCTTGATGAAAGATAATCTGTTGTGACTTAGGTCCCTATAAGAAAGCAAAAACAAAATTATAAACAGTTTAAAATACTAGTACTACTTAATGAAATGCAAGACAGAGTGAGCTTATGAAATATCTATTAACATTAGTGACAACCAGAGAAATAACGGGTCCATTCTGTCCATAAACTAGATGGAAACCAAAATGTCAAACTCAAAAATACAAACTCTGAGGACAAAATTAGTTTAAGAGGCTGGCAGATTCAAATACTTTAAGCCCACAAACATTTTAAGAGATGTTTTTTGGCATGTAGTGAACGGATCTTTTGTGAACTGGTAGTTTTGCTTTACCCTCCCATCTCCCCACTCCCAATCTGATAGGATGACATCATAGCTTACAAAAAGTAACTAATTAGGCAGGTTGCCAAAGGACAGCCTTGAACAGAAAACTTTTTATTGTCACAAAGTTAAACATCAATGGCCTTATTGCAGTCAAATACAAATAGAAATTGCTTTCTGTATGTATTAGTTTCTCTGGGTTGAGGCACAAATTCATTTACAGCATCATGATAGTTCAAGTGTGTGTGTGTGTGTGCACGTGTGCACATGTGTGTGAGTCTATTGAACAAGACACACACTATCTGGGTCTTCTGTTTTCCTGAATTCCCCAAATCTCAGTATATGGTAATCTAACATATAGTCTACCTCCACCACCTAACAAACAGATTTCAATCACCAAAATAAATGTTTCTGCTTCAAAGACTCAGTCTAACTTAACAGCTAAAAAACTCCTTCCAACTAGATTTCCATAGGCAGCAATACTCCTAAAAACAACACACTTCTTTCTCCACGCACAGCAAGTTAGAAAGTCATATCAGCATTTCAATTCAAAATATGAAACAAAATTTGGAAGACATGCTTGGTTATATTCCTTATATGTTTCAATAACCTTGACTCTATAGCCTCAAAATGGGGTAATGAAAATGAAATGGCTGAACAGCGACTCGAACCCACGCTAACAAACATGACGGCCTGATGCTACCCATCGAAAGAGGTAGCAAACATTTAATGCATTCTTTGTGTTTAACTAAAGTTTCAGTGTGAGGTTGAAAATCATGACTATGTTACATGTCTGAGTATGTTCTCACAAAATAAAAATGGAAAGAAATCAGCTGCAGAGATGCACCATGTTATTTAGTGCTTAGTTAACAATTACAAATCAAGAGTTCTTTTAGTCTTGCAATTTTTGTTTTGAGAGTAAACCTGGAAACTGTTTCTCTTTTACCTTAAAAAAAAAAAAAAAAAAAAAAAACTGCAAAGGTTTTATTCAAAATATGTTTGCCTAAAGACCTACCAGACAGCAACAGACATGAGTAGATTTGTTCTGGTAGAGTTTATAACATGAAAAAAAAAATCTGGCACAGGCTTTAAACTATAAAAATCTTGCAATTACAACCACTGCTGTGCACGCTCACGATGCAGGCTGGAGCCAGACACTTTCCCTCACAGTCCGGCTCAAGTCCATCTGGAGTTCATCAAGGAAACCGTGAGCCCAACAACTCAGGTTAGGATTCAAACAAAACCTGTGTGCTTTTAGCACCCCAGACGGTCACAGATTTCCCACACGGTTTAAAAAACAACCGAGGAAAGAATCCTCTCCACTGGAGAGTTAGCCTGAGTCCAGTCTCATTTGGACCCACTTAATTCAGGAACACTGAGCCTGCAATCCTCTCCCCCACATCATTTCTGGTTTTGAAAGTACAGTGGGAAGAACCAATCTGGTATTTACATTTAATACAGTGATCTTCCTTTTAATTAAAAAAGCTACACTAAACCAGCACTGTCAATTTCACTGTAAAGCTTATTTCACAAGGCAATTGTGTGAGAAATGAGAGTGCTTAACCATCTTCCATCAGCAATGGGATGAGATTCCCCCAAGAAAAGACTCTTAAAATGAGAGATTGCCTTCAGAGACAGGTTCACATGCTGCAGATCACTCAGTTCATATTTAAAAGCAGGAGCTGGCAACCTTAAATATTTCGGTTATTTCAACATACTTCCATTCCTGAGTTTTGTGTGCTATTAAAAGCACAATATATGTGGGAGAAGGAAAAAACCCAATCCTTAAGTGACTTTTACTGCTAAATACTTAAAACTACGAAACTTTTAAGGGACCTAAATTTAGATTTAATACAGTTTACATTTCAGAAATGATTACTTTAGAAATGATTAGTTAAAGGATGTCACATTTTCCTAAATGTTCCTTATATTGTTTTTATGACTAAACCACTATAGAGACTCAAGTTATATAACACTGATGTTCTCTTTAACCCAGAACACGAAACATGCAGTAAGGAAGGCGTATTTTCACTTTCGGAATCCTATTAATATACATCTTCCCCAGGAAACTTTTCTAAAAAGAAAACAACAACAAACTGTTGTAGTGAGGTTAATAAAAGGGAAAGGGGGTGAGAGAGAGAGGTGTTAACTATTTACAAAAACTATAGCTAGCTAAATCCTTGAAAAATCAAACTCTGTAGGTAGAGACAAGTTTCTCTTTCTGAATATTAACAAATAAATATATACGAGAATAATTAATTTACAACATTTTGTTCTAGCTATCATTTTCTTTCTCTCAGCATTGGAAATCTGACTTCTAAGTCAAATTTTAAAATGCAAATACAGCACAGCTTCTTAATCAATCCCACAGAGGCCTGCAGAGCTGCTAATTCAGCAGAAATCTGGAAAGCTGAGAAACAAAAAGCCAGGCTGTAGCTGTTTTAAGACACTGATCCAAAGTGACTCATAAATCAGCCAGCTATGTTCAAGTTTTCGTCTGGAAAATATAGAAAAACAGCTGTGAAAACCATAAGGACTATTACCTTCACCCCACCCCCAATTCCGTATGGACCAGAAGATTTATAAGGCACCAACACTGCAAAAGTCACAGGAGTAGAAACTACCTTCCAGACTTTACCTGAGCTCTATTGAGAACTCAAATACTTCTACCTGATAAGATAAATAATTCCAAAATTCTAGTGAAAATTCAGTAATAATTGAGGCTCTCTTTGGCAACTGAACAACTCTTCCTCTTTTGCTAGGTAATATTCTAACAAGCACTCCTCTTTAGGTTCCAATCTCTGTAATCACCAACTCCAGGCCAATCTCCAAATAGGTACAGTTTTAACAGCCTCTTTCATTAATGTATTAGAGGTTACTTTTTGAAATACTGAGTACAGTATTATTATTTTATACTTCAAAATATGCCATTTTTTACACATGGGGGTCCTACAGCAACAACTTATAAATGAATAAAGTGGGAAAATAGACACCGAGTTTTCTGTTTTTCACTTGCAAATTCAATAAAAGAAACATTTTACTTTTTCTAAGGAGTACTTTCATAGACTAGTACAAAATGAACTTCCAGTATTTAAATTGTGGAAAGAAAGGGAAAGGAAGTTGCAGGAAAAAAATACGCATTTTTCTACTTATTTCCTGAAGTATGACACTGCCTACCTAAAAGTTCTACTAATTATGTAAAACTGAAGTAAGAGTCCACAGTCTTTTACATCGACTCCAATACACCAAATAACCGAAAATAAAATACAATTTCCTTTCTTTCTCTCTCTCTCTTCTTTCAAAGGTGGAGAAGAGACCTCTCTAAGGCTTTAAGAACAGACAAAAGAAACATTTACAATAAGGAACTCAGACCACATGGTTTGGTGACACCTACAAAGACGGTTAAGAAGTCCCAGAAGTACAAGAATGACAGGGCTGCTCAGTGAGTGATCTCAGCAGGGCTTCCGACAACAGGCTGAGTGCTTATTTATACAAGTGGAACTTATTTTCACATACTTTTAAGGAATGTGGACTTGTATTGAGACAATTTACTCCTGGCGGAAATGTAATTAAAGACTGTGCTAACCAAATAAACTGTAATTTGTTTTTAGTGTGCCACCAAATTATCTGCAAAACAAAATCCTAATTGGGTCAGCTACTTTTAAGACAATGTTTAGGTAGGTATCAAACTCCTTTGGTTCAACTTAACTTCTAATCAAGGGCAACAACAGTTATTTCTTTAAAGACATCTCATTCACCTACCCCTCCCCAAAAAATTTACACTAGCATGATTCAAGATGCTTCTTGGTACAGTGAAACTACGGAACAAAGTTAGCCTCAGTGCATAATCTAAGTATTTCTAAACATCCTCCAGCACTCCAGGAGGGACTGTGTTCACTTTCTTCCTCATCCTTCTATTATTCATAGGTGTTTACCTCCCGTCATCCACATGTCCAGTTCCGTATGTTGTCAATAGAGCCATTCACATCTCATGAAAGCAACACCCTGACCCCCAACAAGAGCCAATTCAATAGAATTAGCCACAACTAATTGAAAGTCTTCCTGCGTTAGGTTAAAGTCCTTATCTCCTTCACTTGTAATAAAAACTAAGAAGTTCCCTAAGATATTAAATACTAATCCAATACTTGAATTCTACTTTATTAAACTACGGCTTACTAAAAAACGTAGAGAATGTATTGTTTGATGGTCAATAATTCAACAAATCAGAAGTAAAAAAAATTATATAAGTACAACAATTTAAAAACAACTTATTAAAGTACTAGAGTAACCCTTCAACCACGATTATTACAGTAGGATTGACTACTACAATTGTTTAAGAACAGAGAAAGAGGTTCCACTGCAATTCTACTAGGCCCAAATCTGAGATTAAATATGAACTGCGGAATTATTTCTTTTAAACAGGCTTACATTTGTTTAAAGAAAATAAAATTTTTAAAAAAGTTTTTGTTTAGTTTTACAATATCCAATTTTAACGAAACTAGTGGCTAGGAGACTAAAAAGAGAGCTGGCAATTGGAAAGGACTAACATTTCCAACTAAATTATATTTTCTTCCTTGTTCTCCGCAGTTGGCAGTGATTTTGGGTTTTCAGATTTCAGTTTAAATCCAAAAACTTGCATAACAACGCTGGGCGCTCTCCCTGGACTGTCTGGGCGTGCTGAGAAGCTACAGAAATCATGCCCTTCGTTCTGAAAAATCCAATTCTTATTATCTACTGATCAGCACCGCCTAACTTCTTATGAGGACGTGTCCCAGGAGGAAGAGTTAATAGTCTACTAGTGTGAAATTAAGCACGGGGGAAAGGCTAGGGAAGTGTCTATCTTAGGGAGAACGGTGACCCAACTGCGTGTTAGTCTTCGCCAAAAGAAGGCGCGCGTGCAGTTACTAGTTCGGAACAGGAAAGGGGGCCTGAACTAGTTAGAAACTAACGTGGAGCCACCCTACCACTTAAACTCAGAAGGAAAGCTACACAGATCGCCCGCAGGTTGCCATCCCTCCTGCTTGGCCTAGGAGCGCGCAGACTAGCGTGGCCCTGGCCGTGGCCAGTATCCCCTCCCCTCATCCTTGCACGCCCACCTGCGCAGCGAGTAGGAGGAAAGCTGAGGCCATCCAGTTCTTTTTCCACCCCTACGAAGCGCGGGGGCGGCCCGGGCGGGGGAAAAGCTGCCCGGAGAAGCCTCTGCACGCCGCCTCCTAAACCACCAGGTCCTCGCACGCTCCCGTTTGCCAGAATCGGGCTGCGCGAACGATCCCCTTCGTTCAGGAGAAGAATACTTACAGCCTAGCGACCCAGGACGGCAGCGGCTCGGGAAGGCGCACCAGACGCTGGCGACTGCAGTCCAGCAGGTCCCCGAGGCAGCGGCAGGGAGCCGGGCACGGGCGTTTGGCGGCGACTCCGGCGAGCTGCCCGGTCGCCCCGGGGCCTCCGTGCGGGCTGCCCTCGGCCCGGCCCGCGCGCCCCAGCACCACGCACAGCAGCAGCCCCAGCGCCGCAGCGGGAGCACGGAGCCGCGGCACGCCCATCGCGGTCCCGCGGTCTCTGGCTCGGCCGGCGCTCCGCAGCCCGCGCCCGGGCTTGGCACAAACTTCCAGGCGAGGGTGGGTGGACTCCGGCCCCCGAGCGCGCGCGAGGGCCCCGGGAAACTTGCACTCTTGTTAGGGAAGTCTTCTCATGCCCCAGAGAAGCAGGCACAAAGCACAAAAAGGACGGCCGACTGTGGCAGACTTACAGCCCGACGGCGTCCGCAAGCTTTCGGCCGCAAAGAAACTTTCTCGCCTCCACCCCCGCCTCGGAGCGCGCAGTCCCGGAGCCTCGGAGGAGGCGGGGCGCGGGAGGCGGGCGCGCGCCCATTGGCTCCCGACGCGGGGGACTCCGCGGCCACGTGACAACAACAAGGCTCGGGCCCCGGCCCCGGCCCAGGCGAGGGAGAAAGTGGAGCCCAGATTGTAGGAAATTCAGTTACATTTTCCAGTCTCTCCAGCCAGAAGTCTCCACTACGTCCTGGGAACCATCTATCAAATGGAGTTGATGGGCGAAAGGGAGCGAGCAAGTACAAGTCTAGTTCCCAGTGTTGGAGGTATTTAGGGAAACCTTAGGAAGTAAAGTTAAATCAACTCTGTTACAGGAAACCTTTCCTTTCCAAATTAAAAAAAAAAAAAAAAAAATTAGGTGAATTATGTTTTAACCATCCACAGATGAAACAATGGTTTCACAATTCTTTTAACATTAATACCACTGGAGTTATCCTGCCCCCCAATTGGCACCAAAAGTAAAAACAATAATGAAATGTATAAGTCATGATTTTTGAAATGATATATTGAGTTACAAATAGCCAGCCTCGGTGCTCTGGACACAGCTGGGGGGAAATGACCTTCCAATAAACCCGAGATGGCAATCGGAGATTCCTGGCAACAGCTAGGCATAATAAAAATAATCACAGTCATATTTACTAGGACCTTGGAGGAAAAACTTAATACGTGCACCTTGGTCCACCTAGTCTTTGAGTGATGACATATATTGATTGAGAATGCAACCAGGCTAAAAGTACTTGCCTGCCTATGGGGGCAGGGTAAATGAAGGGAAAGGGTGGATTCAGACTACAGGATTTCCCAGGAAGTCTGTGCTGACTTTTCTTGCAGTTGACTGGGGTCTCAGAAAGTTGAAAATGCTGGAGATAGCAGAGAGCATCTGCTAACCTAGCCTTCAGAGGAGTCTGGGCAAAGTAGCAGACCCAGGGAAAGTAACTAACTTATTTGTGGCAAAAACAAACAAAACCTGGACACTTACTTTAAGCTTTCACTTCTATAGGTAGTTTATTGCATGCTGTCTGCCTAAGCATGTGTGTGCTAGAGGTCGCTTAAACTAGGCATATGGAAAAGTGGAGATAGCTTTTGGAATTGGGACTTTAACCCTGACTCTTAATAGCTATCGATTTCCACTGTAGCAAACCACTGTGTAAGTGTTCACACTCGTGGGGAAAGGAAAAGACTCACTTTAAAGTTGACACGCCCTATTTTAGATAAGATATCCTATCTTCTTTCCAACTGCCATCAGCATCAACCCCATTATCTCTTAAAATGAGTTATAAATAAAAATACTTAAAATTATGGTTGTGCCTCCTTGTGAAAGGACAAGGTTCATTACAGTCATGCTGTGTATCACCTATGTATTTCATATAAGGAAAATCAGACAGTGCACTGGAGTGTTTAAAAAGAAGAAAGATGCCAGTATATACATTCCATTGTGTATAGGGAGATGACAGGAGCGAGCGTGGTGACTTTCTGTTGAGACGTCACCTACATGACGGTATGAAGGCAGAAATTTTCTACCATTTGGGGGATGTTAAACTCATTTTGTCTTCCCACTCCACACTGTATTATTTCATATGTTCTTATGAATTAAATTTACATTTATATTCTGATATTTATGGCACCCATAATTTCAATTCTGATCTTTCTCCTAAAAAAACAGTACACCCATGTACACATTCAACTACCTATTGGTCATTTCAAACGGGATATTCAGATGTGTCATGTCTACAATTGTGTGCACAGTTTTCACTTCCCTTTAAGCTGAGTTCACTCTCCCCTAAGAATACCTCCTTTCATACAGATTACTGCCCTCAAAGATGAGAGTCACCTATAACATTGCTTCACTCTCACCACAATCATATCCAATTAATTAGCAAGACCTGTTGAAGCTAACAGCTCTAAATGTATCTTGTGTGTAGTTCCACAGATACTGCACAAATTCAGTCCCCGTTTAGTTCTTGCTTGGATTGCTGCCACAGCCCTCTCCTATCTAGCATTCCAGTCCTTTCTCCACAATGCAGTCAAGTGATATCCCTCCAGCTTCAGTCTGGGCCCATGACGCTAACCCTAATTCTTTTCACCTGTTTCTATTGTCCTGGGAGTAAAGTTCAAATTCTTTAGAATGACCTATGCAGCTTTCTTTGCATTTTGGTGTCTGCTTACTTCTTTAATTCATTATATTTCAGCACCCCCATTTACACTAGTAACTGTTAACCATTCTCTTTCCATCTGTGCCTTTTGCCCTTTTTCATTTGCTGGTGGCTCTGTACAAATCACTCTTTGTCTGTCTTCCCCTTGGTTGATTTGTGCTTCTGTTTAGGCATCCTCCTTTGGATCCTCCTTCTCTAAATCCTGCTTAACTATCCCTCCAGTGTGCTCCCAGGGCATCCAGCATTGCCTGGACTCAGTTTGTAAATCACTAAGTTGGAAATACAATAAAATCTCTTTTATCTAACTCCTTTTATCAGCCCACTGGATTAGCTGTCACTTTCTATCCTCTTTATAAGATCTACTGGCTGATGCCTGTGACCAACTGGAATCTGGAGGCTACCAGCCCCTCCCTAGTACACCCATTGCCTGAGCTCCTATCATTTAGGTGCTGTTCCTCAGTAGTGCTAAATTGGTTTACATTTATAGCTACACAAACAATGCATGCACCAAATAAATATGAACATAAGAACTTGACTTCATTTCTATCATAATGAATTTGAAGCTTGGGAAATATCCTGTAGTTAAAGGTATTATAAAACAATGCTATCAAATTAGATGAGGGCAAGACAATTGTAAAAGTGGGGATCTCGGAGTAACTTTTGCACTGCTATGGTGAAATACCTGAGACTAGGCAACTTGTAATGAACAGAGATTTATTTTTTATAGTTCTGAAGTCCGCATCAGGAAAGGACCATCTTGCCATATCATCTTATGATAAAAGGTATTAAGTAGGGGGGTGCTGGTTTCACCCTTTTTATCAAGAACACATTTCTACAATACTGGCATTAATCTATTCATAAAGGTAGAGCTTTCATGACCTAATCACTGCTTAACAGTAATGTCAGTTCATTGCATTAGATATAAAGTGTCCAAAATGTAAATTTTGAGGAACACATTTCAAACAAAGTGAGGGGGATTTAAACATCCAGGAAAAATCTTCATACACACATTCATGTGCACATACACACACACACAAAGTCTTCACATACATTGCTTTTGCAAGCATCTTCAAGATCTTGTTCTACTTCAAAGTAATCATAACTGGAAATCAATTAGCAGAAGAAGCTTTATGGGTGTGGCTTATGTGGGTCAGAAGTTCACATGGCCAATGAGAAAGTAAAAAATGATGGCATGGAAAGGATGTGGTCCACATTAAATATGACTGTTCTCCTTCTCAGTGCGTCCTTAACCATGCTACCAAAAGACAGGGAAACCATGCCACATGGAAACTTTAATTCAAGGTAATATGTTCACAGACTTCCCAACTCCTTTATGAACCAAAAGGCAGAGAGAAGTTCCACTGGGTATGTATCTATTTGAACAGACAAGGACCAAATAATACCTCTTGAGGTTCCTCATAATCTTTTGCAGATTCCTTTGTAGTGTGAAGGAAACAGAAATGAAAGCAGGGTCAGGAAAGATGGTATGAAGACAAAGAAAAATATAAAAGAAGAAAAGTACTATATTTTAAAAATATGTTTCACAGAGTTCATGTGCTGGACATTTTTTCTTCAAAGCAAGAATGCTGAGAAAAGGGACTGTGCAGGTGAACTGAGTCATGAAGGTTCTCATGAATGGGTGGATGAGTTTATCATAAGACCGGGTTTGTTATCCTAAGAGCCAATTTGGTCTCTTTTCTCCATCTTTGTCTCTCATGAACTGGCTGTCTTACTTGTCCACCTTCTACTGTGGGATGATCAGATATGGGCCCCTGCCCAGCCTCCAGAATTATAAGAAACACATTGCTATTTTTTTTTACAAGTTACCTAGCCTTAGGTATTCCATTGTAGCAGCCAGAAATGAACTAAGACAAAAACCGAACATAAAAATTATGCTTAATTTCCCAAAATGTATCATTAAATAACAGTAACCCAGAAACAGACTAAGTGAATTGCTGATTCTCATATATATATATAATCTGCATATATGTCTCCAGGATACACTGCTTGATTCTCAGTATTTGTGGGTAAGGTCTCATGAATAAGGATTTAATGTGAAGGTACTCCAATTCATTTTGACTAAGACTCATTTGACATTTCAGTTAACCTGAGCTTTCACTGATTAACCTACAGAGGGAAAGTTGATTTTGTATTGAAAATCATCTAAATTTCACAGTTATCCAAGCCCAATTCATTTTCAAATAAAATAGCCAACCACCGTTCCTTTGTCTGTTTACCACTCATTTTTGATTGCCATAGTACAGGCCCCGTGTTTTGTTCCATTTTCCTATGTTTCTTTTTTTCTTTTTTTCTCTTTTTCTCTTTTCCTGTCCCTGGCAAGTGTGAGACTTTCTTATCTTGAGTGCTGGCAAGGCCAATGACTCACAGATAAAAAGTAATAGAGGTGCTAAGCTGTCAGTTTTAACATCCAAGGACAAGAATGAAAGCTAAACACTTAGTGTTTGCTTTATCATTACAATGAATGACACAGCCTGTGCATGTGTGAACTGTGAAAAGGGGAAAGAGATAAGGCAAAGAAGGAAGGAAAGCACAAAAACCCCAGATAATGATGTCCAAAGCAAATTCTTCTGTACTTTGTAACCTAACCATATCTTTTCCCATTCATTAAGGCATTTTAGAAGACACAGATAACCCATTTTCTCACACCCAGACATACACAAAATGCTAACTTCACTTAGAGAGCAGAAGAGCAGAATTTTGTTTTACAAAACTGCTATGAACATGTCTTAACTCCTTAGAAAATATTTAGAAAAATGAAGATAACCACCCATCTGTTTCTCTCAAGTTGGCCAACTATGAGATATTACTTGAATTAA